CACCACATACAGTTCCCCAGTCCACAGGAGTGATCCCTGGGTGAAGAGATAGGTGTGGTCCTCTACCCATGTACTAAACAGCATGAAATCTTGCCTTTTGTAATAATGTGTATGGAACTGGCAGGTGTCATGCTAAGCAAAGGAAGTCAGAGGAAGAAAGTAAAATACTGGATGATTCTACTCAGATGTAAAATTATGATAATAACAAACCAAAGGAACAGACAGAACCAAATCAATTGAAATCCTCTGACTCTGTCCACAGAACTGAGATTACCAAAGGGGAAAGGGAGAGATCTGATAGTGTTGAGGTAGTACAGTGGATGCTTGTGGAGCGTAGTTGACACAATTGGCTGATTAGTTTTGAAAAGTGTGATTGTACAGATTTTCCAACCAACATTACTTTAAAAAGTAAGTAATAAAGTGGCCTATTTTGATTTGCTGATGGAAATAAACTGTGTTACTGTATTTCATCTCTGTATCGTTCCAATTTTAGTATATGTGCTGCCGAAGCAAGCACAGCGGGTAGGGTGTTTGGCTTGTGCGCGGCCGAACCGGGTCCGATTCCTCTGTACCTCTCAGAGAGCCCACTATGCTACCGAGAGTATCCCACCTTCATGGCAGAGCCTGGCAAGCCTCTCAAGGCATATTCGATATGCCAAAAACCATAACAACAAGTCTCACAATGGAGGCATTACTAGTGTCTGCTCGAGCAAATTGATGAACAACGGGAGGCCAGTGCTACAGTGCTACTGTATTTCATAAGAGGAAAATATCATTATCTATTAAAAATGAAAGTTTTTACTGATATGAGAAAGATTAGTTATTTCTGAAAACTCTTTACATTTCTCAAATAAATCTCAATATTTACAGGTCTTGTATAGTATTTTTGTTCTTTGCAAGACTTCCTATCTAACATAAGAAAGAATAATTACTTGCTTAACACACAAGTATACTAGCAAGTTTAACTTTCCTAACTTATGACTGGCAATGGCTAAATGAAGATTTTTGGTAAGAGCAACTAAAACATGTGAATTACAGGGCCCTTTGTTTTTCACTTTTAAACATATTATCTTCATTATTTCATGTATCTCATTAAATAGCTGCACAGCAAAAAAGAGCAGAAAAACCTGTTACAGAGATTTTAAGCAGTGTTTATCAACCTTCTTCCAACTGTGGTCTGCTTCTGGCCTTATTTTCTTCCTGTGGTCCCCTTATCTGCTGGTTGATCCCTACTCTCCTGCTATGGATCTCCCATTTAAGTGATTTTTACCTGTGGTCTCATGGAATATCCTGGGGGCCATACCAGGGGCAATATGGCTCTGACCGAGGAAAGCTGATTTAAACAACCATTACTAAAAACTCAGAAGTTATAATTACAACTCTACCACTACAATTATAAACTAATTTCACTGTCCTGAACATATCATGTGTTCCACTTGTTCATCCTTCTTTATACGCAAAGCTTGCAAGCATTGATCTGTTTTGTTTTGTTGGGGGCCACACCCAACAATGCTTAAGGATACTTCCTGCTCTTTGGCTCAGGGGTTTTTCCAGATGTTCAGGTGCTCAGGGACAGGGGATCATGCAGTGATCAAAGCATATGAACTATTCCCACAGCCTCAAACACTTATGTTACTGTCTCCATAGTTTTGATTTTTTTGCATGTCTTATGAGCAAATTGATGATGATAGTTGGAATTATATAATACATACACTTTTCAGATTAATTTTTTTCTCTTAGTAGAATTCATTTAAGTTCCCTCCATGTGTATTTTAAGTAACATTTGTTTACATCATAGTATATGTTTCAATAGTGCTTTTTCACATCTCTTCAAAAATAACCTGTTATGCCACATTTGCCACCAAAGTGATGAAATCCCTCCATCACCATCTATCACCGTCTCTATCCTTTTGTCTCCTTATGTCCTCTCCTACTGGCTGAAAGGACCTCTTTTCGCATGGTGAAACAGCTGGTGGTGCTCAAGGCTCAAGGCTCTGTGCTCTGGTATCGCTCCTGGCCGTGCTTAGGAGACCACCTATTGTTCTGGTCATTGAACCAGGATCAATCACCTAAATGATAAGTACCATAACCTCTGTTCTATTTCCCTGACCATGGAAGGACCTCTTTTAAAGGAAAATATATCCAAACATTTATGTAAACTATTTTCATACTAATATTGTTCCTTAAACTTGATTTTCAAATGAACATCCATGAGAACACTGTACACTTCCCACCACCAATGTCCCATTTCCCTCCTAATAACACCCCCCCCCTCCACCCTGAGTCTGCCTCTATGGGCAGATACTTTTTCCCCTCTCCCTCTCTCTCTCTCTCAAACACACACACTCTTTTTCTTTTAGCCACTGTTGTTTTCAATACTGTTACTGAAAGGTCATCATGTATATCACTTTACCTCCTCATAATAATATTTATTAACCACAAAACTAAATATAAATCTTGAATGTTCATAAAATTTTATAGGAATACCAAAATACAAATATACAAGAAGTACACAAATTAAGCAAATATAATTTCATGTGACATATGATGTTTTCTCAACCCAAACTTGGGCAAACCATTGACTGGTCAACAGATGTTCCTGGCTGTCAGCATGATTCTGTGCCTTACAAAGATTCTGTTTTCCTGACACTTTCCTCTTTTCAATCAGTTGCAAGACTTTCGTTCATATTACAAACCATGTAGTAGGAGGCTCACCTTATTTGCTTCCTTACCAGCTGATGACAATTAAAGTAGTAGTACTTTGTGCCAACTTGATTGTAAAAGAAGACTCAAATACATGTTATAATTATGTGGCAGCTGTTATCATGCAGTCATTCAGACACTACAGAATATGCTTAAAATTGAAAGCAAAAGTAAAATTTACTTGAACAAAACTAGCAGGCTGTCCTTAGACTGTATAATGAAACCCTGTCTTATAGTATTGTGAAAGTACGTATGTTAAGTTGAAATTTTTTCATTAGTTTATTAATATTTTCTGGTGATATTACCTGAGCACCTATATGATTATGTAGCACTTGACTTACTTGGTCAACTGTCTTCTGTTTGTGGGGATTAAGCCATGGTGGTTTCAGGTTCACTAGTCCCAGACAACTAGGAATTGGTATACTGGTACCAGAACTCAAACCATCATCATTCTTACTTTCATGATTTTTTTTTGGTTTTGGGCCACACCCAGACATACTCAGGAATTACTCCTGGCTCTGCACCCAGGAATCACACCTAGCAGTTTCCCAGGTACCAAATGGGATAGGATCGAACCAGGATTGGCTGTGGGTAAGGCAAATGTCCTACCTTCTGTACTATTGCTCTGACCCCTTCTCCATCATTTTTAAACTGGTCTATTTTTATTCGCTTATTTGAAGGGGATGTTGCAGGCTTATTCTGGGTGCTCAGGGCTTACTCTTAACTCTGTGCTTAGGGATCACTCCTATGGTGTTCTGGGGACCATATGCTGTGACAAATAGCTCACCCTGGACAGTCCAGTGCCTTATCTGTAAATGCTTGCCTTGTAAGCCACATTCACAATACATCATACCTTCTTACAATCTAAATAAAAAAATAGACATGCTCAACAGTCATGACATCAAATAGCCGAATTAAGATGACAAATTTTAAAGGTGCTTGAGAATTGTTTTCATAAGAAGACAAGTCAAGGAGTTAACAAATTTGGAGGGCTTGTTTGTATGGCTCCACTTTTCTTTTTCACCTTCCTCCTGTGTTTTCACCTTTTCCTTCCTAAACCACCTAGTTTTATGCTTGCATTTAGTTTCAGTGTAATAACTTTTTCCTATAAATAAATGTTACTGATTTTTTTGCTTCAAGTTTATGGCATTATCATTTCATATGAAATATGCTTCCTTTCATAAAAAGATAGTAGTTTTTGTAAATTGTCTTAAAATGAATTCTCAACCTTTTATTTTCCTCTGAATATTGAAATAAAAATGCACATGTCCAAAATCTGGGCCAATTTGTCTAGAATACAAAGGAAGAAGAAATGGGAAGAAAGACCAGTATGTGACAACTTCTGAACTGATTCAAGCTGAACAAGTTAGGCGTCAGATTGCATTTTTCACGGAAGCATTGGCAGAAACACCGACTGACGTTTTGTTCAGTAGTCAGGGGTGGGATCACAGAGGAGGTAACATCTGAACCTGGGCTTTGATTAGCCAGAGTCAGGCAGGGCTTTCGAAGCAGAAGGCCTAACAAGCAGCAATGAGAACGTAGAGCACTGCATCGTCCCACAGCCCTGAGTAGCCCGGTAGCTATCTCCTGGAGTTCCCGGGCTCACGAGATCGGGGAGGAGGTATATGGACTGCTTTTCCCGGCCCGTGCCTTTTCCCCAGCTTTGTGCATCGGTGCTGCGCACTCATGCTTTGGAGCTCCATCAGTACTTGTTGAGTTGGGGCAGGGTGACGAGCTCCGGTGTCTTTCTCACGCACCCACCGTGTGAGCTCGGACAAGACCGTTTTCTCGGAACTGTGGCTCCCGGCTCGGGCATCAATCGCCGCGGAGAAAGCCTGGGAAGTGGGGCGAGAGAGGGGGCGGGGGCGGGGGCCGGGCTCGAGGGCGCGCAGGGCGGGCGGCGGTTCAGTTCCTCCTCCGCTCCAGCAGAGGGCACGGGGAACAACTTCCTGCCGCCCTTCCCTCCCGCCGGGCGCCGGGCCGACTGCAGCTGCAGTTCCGAGCCGCGAGCGCAGTGGGCGGGGCGGCGGCGGCGGCGCGGCTCCGCCGGGTCCTGGGCTGGCGGCGACCCCGAGGTGGCCGCAGAGGCGCCGGGGGGGTGCCGAGTGGTGGCCGCGGGCCGCCGTGCTCTGCGGCAGCCCCTTTCGCTGCTGCTGCTGCTGCTGCGGCGGCGGCGGCGGCGGCGGCGGCGTTGGCTGGCGGCGTTGAGCCCGCCGGGGAGCGGCGGCCGCAGCCGCGTCTGAGTGGGGGCAGGGGAGGGCACGGGCGCCGTCCGGGGAGCCGCGCGGGAGCCCCCGGGGCCGGCTATCTCCCACCATGTCCGACGAGGCCGCCGCCACGACTTCGTTCGAGAAGTTTCTCACGCCGGAGGAGCCCTACCCGTTCCTGGGACCCCCTCGCGGAGTGGGCACCTGCCCGAGCGAGGAGCCGGGCTGCCTGGACATCAGCGACTTCGGCTGCCAGCTCTCCTCCTGCCACCGCACCGACCCGCTCCGACGCTTCCACACCAACAGGTACGGGCGCCGCCTTGGCGCTCGCGCGGCGGCGGCCGCCGGGGACCCTCGGCCCCGTGCCCGGGCTCGGGGCTGCCTTCTGCGCACCCTTCCTCCCGGCTTTGGCCGCACCTTCTCCCCGGGCTGCCTCCCGCTCGGGCCCTTCCCGCACGCCCCGCGCTTTCGCCTTGGCCCGCCGGTTTCCCTGCCGTTCCCGCCCGACCAGCCGGCATTTTCCCATCTCTCTCTCTCTCTCTCTCTCTCTCTCTCTCTCTCTCTCTCTCTCTCTCTCTCTCTCTCTCTCTCTCTCTCTCTCTCTCTCTCTCTCTCGCTCCCCCCCCCCCCCCCACCGAGCCTAGCGATTTTTCCCTCCCGGCCCACCACGGTAAATCTGTAGCAGGCGAAGCCCGAACCCCCACCCGGGATTTTCAGAAGCTCGCCGGTTTCCATCAAGCCACAAAAGTTTAACCCCTTCCACTTCCTGCCAGGCAACCGAGGGCTCTTGGGGAAGGTGACGCTTCTCGGCGCTCGATCTGCCCGTGTGTTTCTCCGTGTGTAGTCTGTCTCAGCCCCGTTTCCACTCGCAACACCACCCACCCGTTTTTAGTGCAGCTCGAGGAAACCAGGCGATTCTTTTTCTCCCTCCCTCCTCTCCTTCCTGAACTCTGCCTCGGCGCTTTAGGCCTTTCCAAAATGTGTAAGCTTCAGTTGGGATGATGTCTTGAAGGAATGTTTCCTTGGTTTGAACCGCCCGTGGTGGAATCAGGACTGACTTAGCATAGGTTTCCTTAGGATAGAATATTCTAGACTAAGGATAGGTTTCTAAAGCAAATTCATTCAGAGGGTGCATTCTTTAATTGGTTTAATGGAAGGTACAGTGTGCTGTACAACTGTCTCATGCAGGCGTTTCACTGTTTCACCAAAATAGGGGGATTTAAAGATGTTTTATACATTGCCCCAACCTTTAATATAGGTTCTCTCTCTCTCATTTCCCCAACCTTTAATATAGGCGCTCTCTCTCTCTCTGTCTCTCTCTCTGTCTCTCTCTCTCTCTCTCTCTCTCTCACACACACACACACACAACACAGAGGTTCAGCTATGAAAAATACTAGAGATGAAATAGGAACCTAGTTCTTAAATCTGATTTAGGTTTACAATATGAGTATAAACAAATGCTTCTCCTTGTTTGGGTCACACCTAGCCTAGTTTTGAGCTCAGGAATTACTCCTTGTGGGGTTTGGGGGACCATATGCAGCAGCTCTGGGGACTGAACCCAAGGTTGGTATGTGACAGGCACTTTAACCTCTGTACTATCTGTGGTCCCTGATTCCTCCTTTTAGTGTCCCACTTTAAATCAGCTTACTGAGTTTATAGTAGATATATTTAAGACATAATTTTTGCCTGAAAGTTATAGTCTGGAACTAAGATATTATTCTTAAAATACTAATTATGCTGAACAGCAGTGTAATACATTTCAGAAATGAGTGGACATATATTTGTTAGACTATGCCAGATCTTTATTACAAAAATGAGGCCCAGAGAGAGTTCAAGGTCATAAAACCTAATAGTTAGGCAAAACAAAGACTGCTTGCTTTGGAGGCAGTGATGAAACTTGGAACAGAATTGATGGGTCCGATATTATAAATGCTTACTAACAAAAGGTGTTCAGGCCATGTGACTGGGGTGAAATTTAGCATATTTATGAAATCAAGTGTGGTTAGAGTTGTATGCTTTGGAAAATAATTCAGACTACTTTTACACATAGTAGATATTTAAGTTTTGCAGCATTGGAGCAAGTAAAGCTTACGAAGGAAAGACAAAATGATATCAGGAACCAGAAAGATAGACCAGGAATTAAGGCATGCCAGGAATATTCCCAGTGTACCTCTGGGTGTGCCTTCCACCAATCATTCCAAAATTGGTCAGCACTGATGAGTGCAGTTTACTGGGGACAAAAGATAAAAATAAGCACTACCTAAACAGGTAGAGGTGATGGGGAAATGAATTATGGAGATGAATATATTTCTTACAGCTTTTTCTGTTGTTTTGCCTCCTCCCTATTTTTCCCTAACCCTTCTCTTACCTCTCAGTGAGGTCAAAGTTGTTTTCACAGACTGGGTAGTGAAGATGAGCGGGAGAGAATTCTGTTCAGGCCTAATTTGTCCGAGCCAGACATTTCCCAAGATACAGGCTGCTTTGTTAAAACCTTCCTCTCCTACCCTTAATTTTTCAAGGTTTGAAGTGGCAGTAGGGGAGTTAATGGATCTTGCTCCTTACTCTTTTCTGCAGAGATTGGGGGAATTGGAATTAGCAGTAACTACAGAATATTTCTGCCTTAGGCTACCTTGCTTTTTCATTGTTTTCTCCTGGAATGTTCTGCCTTCTTACTCCTCCTCAAGATGGCATTTGAGAGGAACATATGTTTCCAGCCATTTCTTTTCAGGGAGATGCAAATAGCTAAATTAAATATGTGGGTACAGTTTGGTTTCGGCAGCTCTTTTGTTTTGGGATTTTATCTGGCACTTTTCCCTCACATCACATTCCCCAATTCAAGCAGCACTCTCCAAATCAAATCTGGGATAGTAAGTACTGATATTCTTCTTTGGGTTTGGTCTCATTACTAAACAAACGTTTGGAGGCCAGAGAGATAGTGCATTGTATAGGGCACTTGCCTTGTGTGGGACAGGCCTGGGTTCGATCGCCGGCATCCCATATGGTCCCCTGAGCACTCCCAGGAGTAATTCCTGAGTGCAGAGCCAGGAGTAACCACTGAGCATCGCTGGGTGTGGTCCCCAAATAAAAAAGCAAATGTCATTTCAAGTAGAAAGCTTGTTAGTGGATAGAAATGATAGTGATTTACCTTTATTTTGTTGCTCGTTACCTAATAATAAAACTGTCTTTTGTTTACATACAGTTTGCTCCTGCTATCTCAGAGATTTTTGTGTCTGAGATATTGATCTTTTAAGTCTGAGAGCACTATTACAATTGCTTTGAATGGAGTATTTTAGTATTTCCAGAGCCCCCAAATAAATTAACCAGATAGGTGCACTTTACTTACAGATACCAAGGGAAGCTTGTAAATGCAACCTTGATAAAGGCTTTATGATGACAAATTTGTATCTGTTCATATACTGGACTCTGGAATATATTTGCAATTCTCATTAATTGAAAGTTTCCCACTCTATTTCTTAGGATGCCTAAGGTTGAATATTGTTAGTGCTAAGATTAGAGTCACTCTGAATTAAGTGATTGTCAGTGATCGAGGTTCAGTGGAAAATAAATTATATGATCACAGCTAGTTTTCTAATAATTCGCAATTTCGGATGAGTGTATTTTAGGGCTGAGTTGGTTTTGTCTGTAATTTGGGGAGAGTAGAATCTTAACATTTAAATACAGTGTCATTATAGAATACATGTTTATTTTTCTGCTTTTTTGCTTTGTGTTTTGGAGCCATAGCTGGCTGTGCTCAGGTCCTACTCTTGGCTTTGTGCTGAGAGAGAACTCCTGGTGGTACTTAGGGAAATGTATATGGTGCTGGGGGTCAAACGCAGGCCAGCTGCAAGCAATTCAAGCGCCTTATCTGCTATATTATCTCTCTGACCCAATGTTGAAAGCAGTTTTGTTCTGTTTTGTTTTGGGGCCACACCCGGTAATGCTCAGGAGTTACTCCTGGCTTTGCATTTAGAGATCACTCCTGATGGTGTTCAGGGGACCACATGGGATGCTGGGATAGAAAGAACCCTGCTCTGCGACATTCAAGGCAAGTGCTTTTTTCGCAGTCTCACTGACCCACAGAAAACATTTTGTTTTGGGGACAAGATTTTTATTTTGTAGCACTTGTCCACTGTAACCTCTACTGGCATTCAAAAAGTGGTGTCATTTAGCAGATTGAAAAGATTATAATAATGGTAGGTCCTGTAATTGTGAGACGAAGCAGTTTAATATGAACTACTTGCTGTATCATTCTCTTCAACTTTCAGCTGTGTGTCACTACTTTGACATTAAACAATTGTAAAATGTGTGTGGGAAGACTGTGCCCCACTTTTGTATACTCTACTGGCAGAGTACGAAATGAAACTGTTGTATAAATCAGTGATTCAGTTATGTTGGCTTAGAGCCCTGTTATCAGTTACCATTCATCAGAAAGATCTAAAGACCACTGTGTACATTTTGTACCACCTTGTTTTCCTTTCCCATTATAGAATTCCAACTACAGAAGAGCTGTGAATTGCAGGTGGAAGAACTACTTCCCATGAAGTGATGCTGGCAAAAGAGGGAGAGAAAATTTGACTTAGGGACTTGCTGAGTCAAATTGAGAATATTGACTGGGCTTTGGAGAACTAGTCTAGGCTTGAAATATAAATCTTGGAGTATTGAAAACCAAGTTCCAGTAGAGGGTTAATAGAATAGGACTACAAAATTTGAGACTGTGTAAAAAAATTTTCAGTAAATTCAGTGTGGGAGAAGAGATGCAGTATTTGCAGTGGTTGGGGCAGAGTGAGAGGGTGTGTGTGTTGTATGTGTGTGTGTGTGTGTGTGGTTGGTTGGTTGGTTGGGAAGTTGTTTTTCATTTGACTTTTACTTTGTTTTTTCTAGAATAGAGATTTTGTGTCTTTTGAAGCAACCCATTAGGAAAGGGAGAAATTGAAATGCAAGGAAGGGTAATGTCAGACATCAGATAATAACCTTCCAAGCCAAATGGAAGGTTTAAACTTAGAAATTAAGAGAGTACTTTTTACAGAGGATTTAGAGGAGGTAGGAAAAATGGGTAAAGAATAGAAGATAATTTGATTCACTGGAAGGAGAGGTTTTTTTCCAGGTGATGACTGGGGGTCTCCTAGCCAGTTGACAAGGAACCCGGAGGGCACTCCTGGTGATTCTTGCTCACCAAGCTGATAGTTTAGTGCTTGGGCTTGGGAAGTGTAGTGCTGCTTGGGTTCAGAGGTTTGGGGTCAGCAGGGAGCCATTTGGTACTTAGGGAGCCATGTCGTGCCAGGGTATTGAACTTGGGGCCTTATGCA